CCCACACAGCTTTACAAGACAAAAAAGCAAAGTGTTGCAAAACAATCACAACAGTCCGCTTCCACACCTACTCAACATTGCTTTGAGTTCACACATCTAACGGCAGCCGTTAGGTAAGCTACGGCCCCTGAGACCAAAGCTAGCCAACGCATTCCCAATCAATGGCCAGGATATTAGGCTTGTTAACTCATTTATGTGAATGTGGCACTCCACCCATTGCAAGTGTCTCTCCAACTCCGCAGTCACCTAATCTGACTTTGGCCTTTTGTGTGCAGTTGAGATTGAAGGCATATTGAACGAGCCCATCCAGGGGCCATTCAGAAGGTATACGTCCCTGCATCTTCAATATCAGATAGCTCCTAGTCAGGACTGTCTATCGATCCATTGCTTTAGCACTTCTGTAGCGGGTGAGTGGCAGCTCCAAGTCTAAGAAAGATCAACGCCATGGAGGAGATGAGTCATCCCTGTCTGGTGTGCTCTTCTCCGTCTCTCTATCATCTTTTCTTCACCTCTTCTCTCCGCCAGGCCCATTTTACCACTGTACAAGCCTCATCTAATTTACTGTAATGCACCACTGCTCTGAGAGCAATAGGGTGTTATTATAAAAATAAAATGAGAAACGGGTGCAGCAAGAATTCTTAAATGTTCCTGGCTTGAAGCTTAAAGGAATATTCAAGGACACCATTTGTAGCATATAATGTTGATTATCACAGAAAATAATATCACTTCATCCCTCATTTTCTTTACAAAAAGGCTAAAATGAAGGGTTACAGTGGGACGCTTATAATGGAAGTGAATGAGGCCAATGTTTGGAGGATTTAAAAGCTGAAATGTGAAGTGTATCATTTTATAAAACCACTTACATTAATTCCTCTGTTAAAACTTGAGCTATAAAGCTGTTTAAATAATGTTTTAGTAGTTTTAAGGTTTATTGTGTTGCATTGTCATGGCAACAATGTTGTAAAATTGGATATAACTTTGCACAGAAAAGGCCCTATTTTCTTCCATTGTAAATGCACCACTGTAACCCAGATTTTTTTTTTTTTTTTTTTTTCAAAGGGTAAATGGAAATGAATCAATATTGTGGCAAGCAGCCCTCGGAAGCAGCCAGTCTCAGCGGGAAGACGTGATGGGAGGGAAGGGGGTGGTCTGGTCTGTAGGAGACGCTGGCCGTGAAAATTAATCTTAGGCTGTATCTCAATATCTCAATGCAAAACTGCCCAGCAAAATCCTCTCACTGCATTTCTAATGTGTCACTGCATGAGTCTGAGGTGGGGGAGGAAGTGATGCATGGGGGCAGGGCAGGACTGATTCAAAGGGGTAAATGATTGCCCTCTAGGGGAAGGAGAAATGAGAGAACGGCAGAGAGGTTTATCAGAGACGGAGTTGGCTGTCAGCCAGAGCTGTGGTATAGGGTGGTCTACCGAGAAATAGAGAGAGCGAGAGAGTTGCTCACCTCCTTGACACAGCAAATCTTTGCACTCCCTCTCCTGACTGCTGTCTGGACATAAAGAAATATGCAAGGTAAATATGTAGGTCAAGACGACTGAGTTGTATATAACATAATTATTCTATTATGAGCTCAAGCTTCGGAGTAACAACCTACATACATTTTCCTTGCATAATATAAAGTAAGTGGGACAGGAGGGTAAAATCAACTCCAGCACTGACATTATATTGTCAAAATGGAATCAGTTAATAAAGTGCACGGATGTTGAGAAGTGTGCAAGTGCCACCAGCAGATTTTCCTAATTGCAAAAAGGAGGAAACAATCTTTAAAAAAGAGTCTTACTGACCCCTAACTTAGTGTATTTAGACTGAATATTTTCAACCAACCTGCACAGCTTTGCAAGACAAAATAATAATTATAATAATAATAATAATAATTGTTGCAAAACCTTGTGAAGACATGAATGTAAATGTAGTGTTCAAATTGAGTGGGCTCTCGAGGGGTTCTGGACCCCAGAAGTCAAAACTGATGAAGTCCCATTTTGTTTACTGCATTAGAAAATAACTGAATTAAGTGTTTTCATGCTATTATTGTTCTATAGAGATTACACCAGTTATTATTATTAACAGGTATTTTTGTAGGTAATGCTTAAGTAGTTAGTACATGTCATGCTCTGATTTTCCAAATACAGATACAGTAAATGTTTATCCCCTCACTTTATCTCTATCCCCTGGTGTGTCGCACTGAACAGACCTGGTGTTCATTCAATATGTCTGTCTCGCAGACGTAATGAAAATCCCACCCACAGGCGTGCACACGAATGAAATCTTGGGCTGTGTACTGAGGCAGGATGGCAACCAGGCATGTCCGAATCCAGTCTAGTAAAATGCCTTCATCTGGTTAGTTTTTGATGCCAACATAGATGCATCATTCACTTTTATATACCACAATCCTATATGTGCAGGAAAGAATGAAAAAAGCATTAGATTGAGCATTCAATTCATTTATAATTAATTCATAACTCAGTTTGTGCTGAGAAATAAGCATAGTCATCACTTATTTGTTTGGTTAATTATACAGTTGACTTGAATTTGTTTTAGATCAGTAAATTTGACATTATAATGCCATAGTATGCTGTTTGTTCTCTTAACCGGCAGCATTTTGGTTATGAAGGCACCGTTTGAATCACTGACTGGGCAAGGTCTAGTTGGACACAAAGGGTTAATGACTAGGCTTGTGGGCGGAGCCGTGGCACGCTATTGGATAATTATACGTGACGCAATCGATATGCGAAACCTAGGAACTAGTTAAGAAGGCAGTCGGTAACTTTGAAAAGAGGTTTGTCTTTTAGAGTGCGGCAGCTGCGAGTCTATCAAGGGAGAAAAGTATCTTTGAACATGGTGCAGCAGACGGAGCACAGCGAGACGGAGAGCAGCATGTCGCGAGAGACCACAGACACCGAGGAGAACGAACTGATGGCGTGCAGCCCGGTGCCACCGAAACCGGACTGGTGCAAGACAGCCACCGGCCACATTAAACGACCCATGAATGCCTTTATGGTGTGGTCCAAGATCGAGAGGAGAAAAATAATGGAACAGTCTCCGGACATGCACAACGCTGAGATCTCCAAAAGACTGGGGAAGCGGTGGAAAATGCTGAAGGACAGTGAAAAGATTCCCTTTATCCGCGAAGCCGAGCGGCTCCGGCTCCAACACATGGCTGACTACCCTGACTACAAATACAGACCCAAGAAAAAACCAAAGCTCGACAGTTCTTCGAAACCAGCGGTGCAGTCGCCAGAGAAGATCGGCAAAAGTGTCAGAGCTGCAGCGAAGAAGTGCGCGAAACTCAAGCCGAGCAAACCGGGAAACATTACCGCCAGAGCTTCTTCACAAGACTGCAGATTCAACTATGTTTTCACAAATTTAAAAGTGACCAAGTCTATAAAAAGGGAACTTACTGACGACGAAGACGACGACGACGACGACGAGGATGACTACGAGGACGAGGAGTACATCAGGCTGCACAACGTCCCCGCGAGCCCCACGCTGAGCTCCGCTGCGGAGTCCGAGGGCGCGAGCATGTACGAGGAGTCCAGGCACACGAGCGCAATTCCCGGCAGCAGACTGTTTTACAACTTCAAGAACATTACCAAGCAGAGCGCAGCTTACCCTGCCTCGGTGTCACCAGCATCCTCTTTCAGGTCCGTCTCTTCTTCGTCCAGCAGCTCCAGCGAGGATTCCGATGACTTGCTGGTGGACTTCAGTTTGAACTTAGCGGCGGGCTCTCACGCGACGGACTTGGGCAACACTTCAGGAAACCTTTGTCTCTCTCTGGTGGATAAAGATTTGGACTCTTTCAGCGAGGGCAGCCTTGGTTCACACTTCGAGTTCCCGGACTATTGCACTCCCGAGCTCAGTGAGATGATCGCGGGAGACTGGCTGGAGGCGAACTTTTCAGACCTGGTTTTCACTTACTAACTGACAAACTCCTCCAGAACCAAGGAGGCATCTCGCATCTTCAGGTTATTTTTTGACTCTGCCTCTGTGGTTGTCCTGGTTAAGACGGCGGAACCTGCGTTACGAGACTTGTAACTTAGAAAAAAAGTGACAGTGGTCAATATTGACAGGGCTGTGTGTATGGCAAGCGCTTTTAACATGTATTCCTTAAAACTACATGGCTTCCACTTTTATCTGACATGCAGTTGTTTTTATCCTTGTAAGCCATTAGTTGGTGTTTTTTCAGTTCACTAGGAATTTTACTTTTTTTCTTGCTGCTAGTCACTGTCCCAGTAGTAACAATATACTGTTTCTGTTGTTACTGGTAACAATTTTTTTTTTCTGTCATGGTCAGTCTCAAACTATTCACTATGTATTGCAATTATTGCATGTATATGTTCAAGTTTTACTACTACTAATACTAATTGAGTAGACTCTAGTATCTGATTATCAGGCACTAGTGTTTATTCCAGTTGGTACTAGTATAGGATAGTGACTAGTAGGAATAATGTGTATATAAAAGATTGATTGCTAGTGAGATTGAGATGCTAGCCACTATTAAATCACTTACTAGTAATTAAAATAAGTGCTAGTCACATGAAAATAGATACCAGTTAGTTTAAAGCAATAAATGTTAAAGTAGCTTGCCGTACCGTGTGGCTATTCTGTGGGGTTGCAGTGAAACTGCTTAAACTGTGGTGGAGCGCAAAATGTAAAATCTGAACTATGCATTCCCATCCCACCCATATCTCTACAGGGAGCTGGAAAACGGTTGCTGGACCGAATGGAGGCAATTCTGAAACACTGTTCAGGATGGAACTTTTTCTTAGGTCTTATGTAATTTCTGTACGCCACAAACGTTTCTTGTGTGTGTACCGGTTCCGTTTCCCTCCAAGTATGGGAATATTTAAGCAGATAACCACTCTAGAGCACACGTATGGCAGGAAGCATTTTGATACATGACCAACATACCTCATCTTTTAAAAAAAAAAAGAAAAAAAAAATAAAAAAATTTTCTGGCATATTTTTGTACAAAAAAAAAAAAAAAAAAGAAAAAAAAAAGTAAAATATTTTCTGGCATATTTTTGTACAGTTAAAGGGAATGTTCTTACTGTGCTTTAAGTGAGGTTTCTTCAGGCACTTCAACCCGGTTTCATTTGTAAAAGCATGTGAGAATTAAACTGAGAAGTTGACTTGCATTTAAATGCCTGGTTATTATTTTACTCAAGGCAAATGTACAGCTGTAGATCTGAAGCGTTTCTATAGGGAAGTGTACAATGGAATTGGGGAAACATATGAGCCTCATTTCTGGTACTAGATTGAAGATTGTATATGTTCTGTAATATAGTAAAGCTAGGAGTTTATGTATATCTGTGTGAATGGGTCCCAAATAGCAGGTGTACAACTGGATTTTGTTTTGCTTTTGTTTTCATCATAATGGCACATTTGTTTTTAATTATTTTGTGCAATATACTCTCAAAATGGACCATCTGCGTTTTGTAGCAAAGGAAATGAGTTACATGTCGTCATGCTGAAGTCTGTATCTGACACAAATAAATCAGCTGGAACTGATAAGAAAATGTATGTCTGGTCAATGGCATGTGTGTCTGAGTGTTCAAAGCAAGGATATTTGTGATCTTGCCATTGGGCTCCTTCAGAAGGGTTGATGTTTCCAGATGCAACCAAACATTTTCCCATCCCTTCTTTCAAATTGAGCAAGGCCTTTATTTTTAACCCCTTTTCTTCTCCACTGGACCAGAAAAAAATCTGCTCCTTTAAGAAATCAAATCTCGCGCTGCTGGGTGAGGCTCATTTTGATTGGTGTAACCATGACCTCCCACCGCTCCCCAAAGCTTCCAAAAGGGTTCTGTCCCTCCTTTTCTCCTCTGAACTGCATTAATTCAGCAAGCCTCTCACTCCCTAACCTGCGCAGCCTGGTGTTACGAGTTCTGCTCTGGAAGTGCATAACAACTTTACAATAATTTACACAAAATTATTACAAACTGCATTTTGCACTGATATAGCACAAAAAAGTTTTTTGTTTTTTTCTAAACTATTTTCAAAGATTATTCAAATAGAGAGCCTCCTAGATACAAGCCAGTTCCAGCACTGCATGTTATTAATGATTGTGTCATTGCAATCTGGCATTGTATGATGCAATCTTACCTCAGCTTTTATTTTAGTGAGTGGCAGAGGATCTATAGGCTGTAGGAACTGTCATGCTTCTGGCATTCAGTATCTATTTCTGCATAACTCATGCGTTGTGCCACCCAGTCCCAACAGATGTTATGTGGGTTGTAAGATTAGTTTACAGTAATTGTAATGATCAAATCATTATGTCATTGTTAGCATGTGAAGAAAATTGTCAGCTCTAAAAAAAAAATTTGAGAATTGTGCATACGCTTTTTTTTTTTTTTTTTCCATTTTCACCATTTGCATGATTCTACTTTGTTTTATTTATATTCATACGATGTATGCATGCTTGTAGTTTTCAGTTTGCCACCTTAGTTATTGACTTTTGTATTACTTTAACACCAGGTCTTTCCAGGGCCCTTCAGCCTTAGCAACTATCCCTTCTTTATGCTCATAATTAAATATAAGGATTTATACTGGTAAGGGATCTTATGGAAGCAATTCTGAGTCTCTGTGCATTGAGGGGAGGGAACCAACTGGTGGGATAGCACTTCATAGCACTCTTATTTGCCCCATATGTTAATCTACAGGAGGAAAGTCATTCACGAGACGGCTGCCAAGATACATGGGTTTGCTTATACATTCTCATGTTCTGTTCAGGGGGGTGTGTTACCATTTTGACCTAAAAACACTTTTCTTCTTTTCCTTTCTCCACCATGGCCATCGACTTCATAGGAGCTCTCTTTGTGGCTTCTGTTCTGATTTAGCATTAAATAATAAGGAATATATATCTGAGTTGTGTACCTAATCAATGTTTTTGAAAATTGGCTTAGATATTCAGTTTTTCTTTCTGCTTACATTTTTTATTCTTGTAGTTTTTGCTACATATCTATTCTCACTGTTGGTCAGGAAGTGGGGTCAGTATAGGGCAAATATGAAACTTTTTCCAACGTCTGGGATATTGCTTGATTCAAACAGGAAGATTACTTATGGCATGAAAGAGTTAAAGTTATGTGTGCCACATAAATCCTATAATAGGAAGCTTTGCAAAAGTCTTTGTTAAATCACAGAAGGATTTTACAACTCTTTATCTATTATCAAAAATCTAATAAGGAACTGAAAATGAGCAATTCATATTTTAATTATTGTGTTTGATGTATAATCTAACCGCAGTGAATATCACCAGAAGGTGCGACTACATTAAGAGGTAACACCTACATCTGACTCTGAGATTAATTATGGCATTACAAAGATGAGAACAGACTTCCTGAATTAGAATCTTTAAAGGTTAATGAATATGAACAGTCATTTGTGTATTAAGCAGAGGTTTCATAGCATAGCAAGTCTTAGTTGCGAACCTGATTAATTCAACATATTCATCTCAATATTATAATGTTAAGTAATATATATTTTTATATTTATATACATTTTTATGTTTTTTTAGGTGCATGGTGTTGGTAAAATCTGAGTCGTGAAGTAAAACTAGTTGAGAATCACTGAGGTAGAGTTCAGCTCATCCCTCAGCTGGGTGCCCCCCACCATCTCCTCCCCACAGATCTTTACTTTATTTATGCTTGTGGTTTTGTTGGTCTTACTCAGTTGCTTTGGAGCCATATCTCTGACAGAGAATAACAAGCAAAGCAGCTTATGCATACTCATACAACACAAAGTATGTGTCTGTCAAATCACTCACCTCCCACTATCACAGATGGCGGTCTGGTGTGAGGATATACTGTTGTTTATGTCTCTGCCATTAATTAAAGCCAAACAGGGAGACAAACTGGATTTGCAGCTTAAACCGTATGCCGCTGCGCTTTATTGATTAAACTTGGGATCTGCACACTCTATTCTACATGTTTAGTCTGGACTAGTTGAAAGAACTCTAAGGTTCTTTGTGGTATCGGTTATGGGCTCATAAACTATAAGAATGGAAGTTAGAGTATTATTATAAAAGTTTATGTATATACACAGTGGGAGGCTTGTGAAAAGCCTACAATTAAATTCGCACTCTTGAGTGCTAATTTGCCCATTTGCATAAATGAATGAAAGCATTAAAGTTTGAACATTTCAGCTGCTCATTAACTGTTGCTCTTCTCTTCCTTGCTTAAAATGATCTGATCATAACTGGCTTAATGGTAGTATCCATCATGCATTTATCACAAAGAACTTGAGGACTTTCTGATTCAGGTCTTCACAAGGAGATTTCCATAGAATCACAAAGTCATTTTATGGTGTTCATTAAACCTCACAAAAATGAGCAATATTAATGAGGAGATTCTGGTTTTGTTCAATAATCTCAGGAGCAATTCTAACAACATTTTCATTAGTCAGTAAAAAAAAAAAAAAGGCAAACAGCCATTACAGTCAAATAAATAAAGAGTTTAAATCTCGCAATTCTGCAATTTTTTTCTTGCAATTTTATTTTATTTTATTTTTATGTATTTATTTTAGTTTGTTTCTGTCATGGAATAACAATAAAAAAAGGTATCTCACGTTTTCACAATTCTGACTTTTTTTTTCAATTGCAAGTTTTTATTTCACAGTTCTGACTTTTCTTCATAGAATTTCAAGAAAAAAAGTTCAGAATTGTAAGATATAAACTCACAATTGCAAGAAAAAAACTGTGAGATCAAAAGTTTTTTTTATTTAATTTAATTTAATTTTACCATCTAAAACAATGGTGAATTCTGGACCATGTGAATTTTGCAACACTGAATGTCTATTAACATGAGTCTTTTGCACCTCTGACCAGCATTGTAATGTGTAATTGTAAATATGTGAATGGCAAGGCACCCAGACTTTACCTCCATTAAGTAATGTTAAAATACCTTTTGATGGAATGCAGGAGTTGTGGTTCAAGACGAATAAGCTGAGGATTAATCTGATTTCCCCCCTTTTTGCTCTTTCCGTGGACGCCACACAGTGTCTGCACACAGTTTGCTTACACATGAGTAATTTATACACTTGAATGTAATAGTGTGTTCATTTGATACCTGAAACATGCTGTTTTCTTGTAGATTGGTTTATTAGAAGATGCTTTCATCTGAAGATAGATGACATCATCAATTTTAGATTGATACAGAGTGTGTTTACTGTATCCATGTTCCTCCTTAATAAATCTTCTGATTGACACTTGCGCCTGAGACACATTACCGCTGGACTTTATTTTTCTAAGCACACAGACATCCTGGCTTGTCATTGGTCACATATGGGATGAATGTTCAAAGCAAGGTACATCAAATAAAAAGTAACACATAAGAACAACTGGAAGAGCAAGACCACATGCTATCAAACTATTTATTAGTCCTTTGATCTTTTCGGCCCATAAGATTGTTTTTTTTTGTTTTTGTTTTGTTCAGTCAGAAAGCTTTCAGAAGTCATTTGATTATAGTCACTAACTAGCGCAGCCTGCATCTGTATGTCTGCATGTCTTGGCTTTTCTCTAACTGACTCTCAGCAATTTCTGTTTTTCTCAATTTCCTGTAATTGAGCTTGTCATGTTTGTGCAGAGAGATGTCACATCAGATCACACAGTGCTTTCTGAGTAATCTGAAAGAAAGAAGGTCATTGGTCTCTCCAACTTGAGGATCTGCCTCCTGTAGTTTTTGACCTAGTTTTCTAATTGCTCATTTGCATAGCATCAGTACGTCTTGTCTGTCCCTCACTCCACCATTTCTCAAGATGTTACTGCAGTTCACAGATCCTCTGTCATGTCAAGGCAAAGTTTTAACATAATCAAAAAAACTATTTTTCTTTAAATAGTGGCCACATACATTGAGTTGGGTTGGGAACTGTATCATTGATTTTAGCACATCTGAATCAAGCCTACAGAGGTCATGTGTGATATGTGACATCATGTCTTCACTGGAAACATTACATCATGTTGAAAAACTGACTTTGCATGGGTTATTTTATTTTTTTAAAGAAGTCTCTTATGCTCACCAAGGCTGCATTTATTTGGTCAAAAATAGTGAATACAGTATTTTTAAATATTTTAAAATGTAATTTATTCTTGTGATGGCAAAGCTGAATTTTCAGCAGCCATCACTCTTACGTATATGCTGATTTGGTGTTTAATAAGTTTTTCTTTTTAGTACAAATTTTGGCCTTAGAATTCTTTGATGAATAGACAATTCAACAGAACAGCGTTTATTTGAAATAGTCAATTGCAGGTGTCAAGTGCAAAGTCAGTTTTAACTTAAAATTGATATTGATTATAATGTTTGCCATCTTCTTTTGTTGCAGTGTAGACAAAGTATTCTAGTCAGTGGTGATCAAGATGTGCTTTTTAAAGAAACCAAGTAAAATAACTAAGTCTATTATCCAGACTAGAGTCCTGGGTGGGTCTAAAAGCTACCGTTCTTAATTGGTTTCAGTCATACCTGTCTGACAGAAAAACAACTGTACGCAGATGTATTTTAAGTACTGAGGTGTAGTAATTAAGAGATTAGATTAGAACCATTGATTATCTATTGCATTGTATTTGATCAACAAATTGTTTTTGAGGAAAGTGGCATACAGAAATAAGAAGTGTCGTAAATAGTGTGTAGCCTGTGTCACATATGCAAGGATCCACTTTCATTTACTTAAAGGGTTAGTTCACCCAAAAATGAAAATTAGCTTGTGTTTTACTCACCCTCGAAGCATCCTAGGTGTATATGACTTTCTTCTTTCAGACGAATCCAGTCGGAGCTATATTAAAAATTGTCCTGCGAGTGCTCTGTAATCCAAATCTTCCAAATCCATACGACTGCAAGGAATAGACCCAAATCCAAGCCTTTATTCGGCGATCTTCATCTCTATCCCGAGCAGCGAGTCCAGTGATCGTGAGCAGCAAAGCCTTTGTAAAGAGCTGACTGACGCGCTCTTTACAAATTCAAATGATGCCGCATCAAAAGACAGGTTTTACGGCAGGATAATCGAACGCTCATTGGCTCTCGCCTGCATTCGTCACAGATTGCGACATGCCGTGTTTCTGGTGAGGCGTGTTTGAATGATGCACGCGGTCCTTCACGAGTTCACAGAGTGGATCGGGAAAAAAATCTGGATAATATTTTCAGCGATTAACAACATAAATTCTGCTCTTCGCTTCACACAAACCTACTGTATTCCGCCAGAGAGTACTGGCTGCAACGCATCGTCATTTGTATTACTTTTGGTAATAATAAATAAATGATTGTAATTGCATTTATCTGTCTGTCATGTTTTTCTTATACTGTACAGAAATGTTTAGGTTTATAGGTAGGAGTGGGATTAGCGACTATAAAAATATTTGAATGCTATATTGTTACAAAAATGGTTATTGTCCTGCATATTTCGGTCAATTGCATTTTATATCCTTTTATATTCGCTATAAAATGGGTAGGTTAAGGTTTGGGGGTAGGTTAAGTGGTCTAAAAATCTAAATTGCTTATTAATAAAATGATGAAAATGCATATTTGCTGTAAAATGGGTAGGTTTAGGTTTGGGGGTAGGTTATGGGGTCTAAAATCTAAATCGCTTATTGATAAAATGCTAAAAATGCATATTCGCTATAAAATGGGTAGGTTTAGGTTTGGGGGTAGGTTAAGGGGTCTAAAAATCTAAATCGCTTATTGATAAAATGATAAAAATGCATTGATACGAATATCTTAATGATATAAAAGATACGTAAATATTTTTACGTTTTTTAGCTAAAAATATGTAGCGATTTGTACGTTTTAAACGTATAAATATGTCTAAATTGTACGTTTTAGCATCAATAAAAACATACAAAAATGTACGTTTACGTATTAATACCTACGTATAAACATGAGACCAGGCTGGATCAGATTATGTCTTTTTTATGTAACTGCATGTTAGTTATGTAGTGTATTAGTATTCTGTTACTCTGCAAGCATGGCGCCCTGTGGCATGTTTTCACCCCAAACAGGATGACTAACTCCTCATCGCCTCCTCAGCCCTTCCCCCAAAGCTCCAGACCAAAACACAGATAAGCCTGGCTTTCTGTTACTTCCTGCTGATCCCGTAGACTGATAAGTATTCAGTGCTGCTGTAAAAGCACTAAGCCACTGAGGAAGATGTCATTACCTTTATTGACCAAAGCTATCGCTGTCAATCACTTAGTTGTGCTTTTCCTTCTCACACTGTTGCAGTGAATAGCTCTTGTATTTCTTATAATTCTAAAAGAGAGCAGAGGTCTCATCTTTTCAAACCGAGGTCTTCGAAGCAAGATGTCAGATCAATCTGCAGTGTCTGCCACAAAGCATATCTTGCAAAGTTCCTTTTTTCTGATAGATGGATGTTCTCAAATACACATTTCTGTATTTGAATGGGTTTGTAGTGACGGTGACACCAAGCTTTCAAAGATGCCAAGACATTTAACCTAGAAGTGTGTGCTTAAGTGCAGCCCTCAAGTCAGTCTATTCCTGGAAATACGATGGGTCGGTATGCCAATATGACAGCTCTGCGTTTTCACGCTCAGCATGCCCTTTTAAATGTAAATACTGATGCAAATATTCCCCTTACAGAGCTGTTCTCAAGCCTTAATAGGTTTTTGATACATCTGGTGTTGTGTTTACCATGCAAGTCACACAAGATAATGGCCGAATGCTCTTAAATGAGTACATGTATTACCCAGCTAAAGTTTTCAGGCACTTATGGATTCGGGTTATTTGTTTTCTTTGCTCTCATATCTGACAGCCTAATTGAACAATCTATATTTCCTCTACTCTCCCCTGCCAGAGAGCCATTGTGGTCCGGTGGATTGATTAGATTGATTCTGCTGGAATATATGCTTCATTCTCCCGCAATATAAACTTTCTCCAGGTCCTCAGTGGAGCCGCACTGCCACGAGTTTGCAGATAAATGCGCTGTAAGAACAATAATTTGTCTTTGTAGCACTGTACATTGTATTTTTCTGGGTGCAACAGGAGCTGATAACTGACTAAGAGGGAAATTCACAAAGAATGAAGCAGATCTGCTGATAGCATCGTTTATTTGAATGCACTGTTTGAGTTGTTTTAGTAATTGAAATTTGTTATGCAAATCCCCAAATTCAGTATGCAAATGAAGTATAGGTGCAAAACACTCTAAAATTTAGCACTTGACAATTTGCACAAGGCAGTTTTCATATTACAGGCGATTCAGGCTACTGTGATCTTGCGTACTTTGCTGTTTAAGTTGTTTTAGTACTTGAAATTAATTTAGCACAAAATTAAATATGCAAATCACCAAATTTATTATGCAAAAGAAGTATGGTGCAAAAGACCCCATAATTTAACACTAGACACAGTTTGCACAGGACAGTTCTCATGTCCAAGCAATCCTCAGCAGAGTACTGCGATCTTGTGTTTGAGCTGATTTAGTACTTGAAATACAGAGTTCTGGCATGAAACTCTAGATGGCGCAGTCCGATAGGTCTAGCTCAATCTGACCTGGCGACATCATTGTCACATGGCAGCTGATTGGTTCTCTCCTGTATCGGAAGCCAATGAGCTCGCTGCTCAATATTCAAATACCTGGCTTTTGTTTGCTGTAGCAGTTGGCAGCGCACTTCAGAGCAGCCTAAATCAACATCTAAGATAAGTGAATGCTCTTTTAATCCATATCGCTGTGTATATTTGCGTGGTCTGCCTAATTGAATTCAAAATGAGCAACCGTAAACAATTTTAAACTAAGTGTCATGTTAGCAGTTTGCATTGTATGCAGCAGCGAAATATTAAGCATATTAGCAGCAGCATTTAGCATGTGCTTATACAGCTGGAGCAAAAGGCAGTTTAGAGCTTGTAATCGCTCAGAGGACAATTTAAGTAACGAATATGAAAACAGGTTAAATAAGTATTCTTGTGTATTTATTTAAGCTGGGGTTCTCCATATACATCGGCGATTATCCCAGTGTTCACGTTCGTTATTTCTAAGGTCCATGTTTTCATTGTGATGAGTGCGTGGTTGATTTCAGTTGCACGCAGCGTCAGAAGCACGCGCTTATCACAGTCATATCAACGATAGTGTTGCGGGAGAAGGGAATTAAGAGTTATCGCTATGGTTGTTGCAGTTCCGAGTGAACGTTTATATTCTGCTTTATTTATTCAATCAAGTCAGTTCATCCAGGAGTTTGTGCACTGTAACCCTGATAACTTTATCTACACGAGAGAGTAAAATGACATGCATCGGCTAACTTTGTCCGTCTCATCATTGCACGAACACGAATTAACGAGCTGTTATGCTGCCGCTGGGACTGATGAAGTGTAGAAAGTAACAGCA